CCTTGCTTCCCTGTGGCTCCTGACCCTGCTCCAGCCCCAGGGGAACCCAGGGGTCCCAAATTCCTCTGCCTGCCTTGGTGCCAGGCCCGGGCAGGGGGAAGCACCTGTGAACCCCCATGTGAGGCAGTGCCCCAGGCTCCCCTGCGGCATTTCCCCTAAAGTTTCCWTCCCCTGCGGTGTCTGCAGGCCTACAAGGTGATTAACATCCCCTCTAAGCATGTTCCAGCCGTGTTCTGGATGCCTTTAAGCCCCCGGGGTGTTACACGTGGCTTACAAGTTGGGCTCCATTAGCRYTCRGTTCGCTGTTTATTAAAGCCTCGATTAATCTTGTATTAATGCTCTTCAAATGCGACTTTTGTGGAGGTGCAGCAGCCTCTGAGAYRGAAGCTAAGCTTCTCCCCAGCCCYGTGCCACTGCTGTCAGCGAGGAATTAGCTGGGAATCTCTCCAGGCTCAGAGCTGAGGGGCTGGGAGGCTGCAGAGAGTGGGAGAATGCYCCAGTTAATGTGGGGTAACACCAGYCCAGAGACAGYCCTGGCTCTGCTGCCCCCAAATCTGGGCCAAATRGGGGAGCAGGGTCCATGACCTGGGAGCCCACTGCCCACCCTGTGCCCCCCAGGGAAGACAGGAGGGTTTGGGGGCAGCCTGGAGGATGCTCTGCTTGCTGGGACCCTGCAAATCCAGAGCAGTTGGAAGGGTTGGCAATGGGAAGATCCATGTCTGAAAAGCAGAAGCCTCTCCTRCCCCTGCCCCGGCAGCCGTGCGGCCTTGGGAGGGCTGAGGAGGGAGGGCTGGATCAGGAGGAGCCCGGCCCAGCCCTCGGGGCCGGCGGGAACAGCAGCTGGGGCTCCTCGGTGGGCTTGGGCTGCTGCCTGTGCCAGAGCCAGAGCCACGGGCGGCCGAGGCGCTGATGGGATGGAGGAGAGCTCCCATCCCTGCCGAGCCGGGATGCTGCAGTTGTCATGGCAACGTGGGAGGCCTGCGAGCYGGATCCCATAACCCACCCCTTTGGGGGATGGGGGGCGTGCAGGGTGCCCTCAGCCCTTGCACCTCCCCGCACCCCAAAATCGCCATCAACCCACTCCTCCCTTCAGCTAAAAGATCCTGCTGAAAACACCGCCTTTTCCACGGGGGGAAAACACCTTTGGGATGAAAAAACCGTGTCCAAACACTCTGTGAGGAGCACCGGGCCGAGCGGGAGATGCCGGCAGAGATTCCTGCGGCAGCTCCTGCTTACCTGTGCCCGTGAGCAGAGATGCCCCGGCTGGAGCAGCCGACACCCGGCAGGGTCCGGCCGTGAGCTGCTCCCCGTGGGATGCTCCCAGGGCTGTGCCTGGGGGCTGGGGCAGATTGGGGCGGGCTGCGGCCGGGGGTGCAGCCAGTCCTGCTCTCCCCCTTCCCAAAGGTGGCTGGATCGGCACACAAGGTCACCTCTCCCTCCTGCCACCGGCCGCGGCCCCGCTGAGCCCTCCCCCGTGGCCCCGGCTGGATTTTTCGCCACCTCGGGACACTTTGTGCTGTCTCCAGCAGCTCATCCCCGCCGGGGCCCTCGGCCGCTGCCAGCCCTTGACTGACATATGTCCATCATCCCTGGCAGCTGGAACCGCAGACAGCAGAGGGTCCCCGCGGGAAGGACGGGCAGGGACGAGCCCGAGCCGCGTCCCSTCCGTGGGAGCTGCCACCAGAAAGAGCATCGCGGTGCCCCCGCGCCCGCTCCCGCATTGCTGCCCGGTACCGCTGGGGCTCCGGGTGGCACATGAGTCACACTTCCTCCCAACGCCCCTTCCAGCGCCGTGCCGCCGCTATTTTTGGAAATTCTGGAAAGCGGATCAGCCCCGAGAAGCGCGGTTCGTGGATGCTCCCCACGCCGGGTTGGCGTCCCACCGCGTCCCCGAGCGGGGCTGGGGATCCCCCGGCAGCCCGGACCCTGCGCTGCCCGCCCCGTTCGGGATGCGTGGGAGCTCCTTCCTCATCCCACGGCCCCTCCTGAGTCAGCAGGGAGCTGAAGCACCGTCCTAGCGGCAAAATATTACCTTTTAAAGGACTTGTTYGGGATTGGGGTGGGACTTTGTGCAGTGCCAGCTTGGCGTTGATCGCTGTGCTCCCAACACAGCGGATCATTCCCAAGTTATTTTTACTCCCAACCCCCAGTGTTTTAGCTGGGGCTGCAGAGCTTCGCAAAGTGTCTCTGAGGAAAACCGGGCACCATCCGGCTCCGGAATCGAGGGGTGGGTGAAATCCGAGATGGGATCAGCAGCTGAGTGTCACAGCCAGGCCTTCCTGGCCTCCCACTTCGGAAGGATCTGGTTTTACGGGATGCTGCACCTACACCCACACCATTCCACACCTGCCACCCCATCCCTCTTCCCTCCCGTCCTCCGGGATCGGTCTAAACCGAGGATTATTTTCCTTTCAGAGCAGTGSTTGTGCTGCTTATCCTTGGCTCAGGCAGTGCCCAAGATCAGCGGCCGTGACCCCCGAATGTCCAGCCAAACCCGGGAGCAAACTCGGAGGGGACACAGGGAGCGGGTGGCTTTGCCAGGCATGTGACACCTTTGCCGTGCAGATGGTGGCTCGGCAACCTTCAGCCGCGTTTTTTGGGGCCCAAGCTTTTGCCTGGAGAGCTCGTGCCCTGCCGGCGCTGGCGGGCTCGCAGCATCCCGACCTTGCCGGGATAAAATTAGCCCCGTTTCATTTCGGATTAAAGGCGGCTCCGCTGGAGCCGCGCGAGCGCTTCGGCTCGGAGACGTCAAACGGCAGCGTTCCCTTTTTTTGTCTGCATCGGGGAGGGGAGGGTCCTGCCAGCCAGCGCCTGGTGACAATGACATTGATTTCCTAGACCTCTCGGCGTGGCCAAATCTGTATTTTTAGCTGGGGAAGAGAAAAATACGCATCACGTGTCAGAGCAACGCTTTCCTGGTGGGAGGGAAGRAGCCGGGAGCCAGCGCTGCTGGAGCAGGGGATGAAGGGGACTCGCTGCCCTGTCCCCGGWGCGGGGCTGGGGATGCACCGAGGAACCGCTGCTGCCCTCCCCGGGCTCCACTCCGGGCACTGCCCCCGGCCCTGCCCCACACAGCCCCGGCCAGAGGCCCCTGAGCCTCCTGCAATGGGGGCACGGKGGACCCCACTCCCCAGGGATCCCGCCCATCCCCTGCGCATCCCCCGGGGCCGTTTATCTTCCGGGGCAGACGCTGCCTTCATCTCTGCTTCCCTGCCACCGCCTCCTCCTCCTCCTCGCTCTCCCCCACCCTGTTCTCATTTCCCCAAGAAGACTTTAATGAAATCTGCCCTTAATTAAATCCACATTCATTTGCATAATTACCAGGAAATTGAAATTAGCCTGCAGACGTGGCTGGAATACACTCGGCATCAGGCAGCCCCGGTGGTTGGGAGGGGGCTGCACCGAGGGCCACCGGGTGCCCCCCACCCATGGGTGCTGCCCACCTGCCCCACGGTGCTGCTCCCCATAGCCCTTCCCTCCCTTCCCAAGGTGACAGGGTGAAAGTGGAGGGACAGCCACTCCCGAGGCCACGGCAGGGCAGAGGCCGTGCCCTCCACCCCCGCACAAGCAGCATCACATTTCCTTCATTTAATAAAAAAAAAAGTCTTCACCGCCATTGAGAAATTTTTTGTTGCTTTTATAACTATGTATTTTGTCATTTTTTATGGTTTCAGTTGTGTTTTTTTTTTAAATCATTTTCAACAGTGACAAACTGAGGTAACGTCTGTGACACTACAGCCTCTCCTATGGGAAGAAGGTCCGAAACCCGACAGCTGAGGGAACTGGAAATAAAAACCCGACAACCTACGGACACAGCGACCTCGACGGGGACAGAAATCACACCTGGCACCCCCTGGGACACACCCCGGGGAGGTGCCACCGAGCCCTCCCGGAGAGGTGCCACCGAGCCCTCCCGGGGCGGCCGGGATCCCTTATCTACATTATTGCACGAAAGATCGAGGACATCGAGGGACCTAAGGCAAGAAGGAGTAAAACCGGTGCCTAGCTCTCTACTCGGGGCAATGCTACGTCTAACGCCGGGCCCGGGGGGTGCCGGGGGCGGGGGCGCGGCGGGGGCGGGGGCGGCCCCTGCTCTGTAAACTGCTGCTGCTGCTGCTGCTGGAAAGCGTTATAGCCCTTAGTGGGGGATTGGGGCGCCGCGGCGGCTCCGCGGCACCCGCCCCGTGGGAGGGAAGCCCGAACCGCAGCAGGGTGCTCCTGCCTTGGGGTGCCCCCACAGCCTCCCCACGCCGGCGGTGGGGCGAGCCCCCGCTCCGCTGGGTGCCCAGATCGGGGAGGGACGGTGTGACCTCCACAGGAGCGCGTCACTAAGGGRACACCGGCGGCTGCTGCCACCGCACCCCGCCTCGCTGCAGCCAGCCCCGGCGGGGTCTACCCCGCTGCCTCTTCCCTGCCAGCCCCGGGGGAGGGTGACAGGTTTGGGGAAGGGGTGACAGCAAGGAGGGGTGATGGGGACAGCACGGGCAAATGGGCGAGCCCGCGGGAGGCCACTGGGACCCCGTCCCCTGCTGCCGGGGTGTGCGGGCCGGCCTGGGTGCGCCGCCGCCGCCTCCTCCAGTCCCTGGGTACGAAGAGTCTGCACAGGGGACACGGGGACACCAGCACGGCCAGCCCGGCCCCGGGCACCCGCCGCTCCGGCCAGGGGGACCCATCCCCACCCCTCGGCGGGGCACGGGGACCGGGGCTGCCGGCGGCGGTGGCTGGGACACACAAGGACACACAGACAGGGACACTTGCTACATCGATGGCTGCCAGCGCCTCCCATGGCAGGGAGGCAGCCGGGGCTGCCGGGGGTCCGGGGCTGCCGGTGACCCCCCCGGTTCCCCATCACCAGCCCGGAGCCCATCTCCCCACCCCGTCCCGGTCCCAGCAACGGGGCAGGGACCAATGGAAGAGGGCAAATCACCACCCACCCCAACCTCCCCAAAGGCCTCCTCCACGGTGCAGGGTCATCGGCCTTTCCACTCCCCACACAAGGGTCAAGCACAGGGTGGGGGCAGAGCCAGTGGGTCACTCGCTACCCACTGCCCCCTGACTCTTCCTCTCCGTGCTGGAGGAGCCCTCCCCGTGCCACCCTGGGGCAGCCTCAGAGGGGGCAGCACAGCCTTGGCAGGGCCGTGGGTGTCCCCATCCACCCGGGCAGTGAGCGGTGCCCTCGGCCAAGCTCCGGCCACCGGCCTCGCCCAGGCGGGACAGAGGGATCGGCATCCTCAGCTCTACGGAGCACAACCAGTTCTGTCCTTTTCCTCTTCGATTGTGTTTCTTTTCCTTTTTGTTTGCTTTGGGAGACCCAGAGCCCGGTCCTGGCTGGTGCCACCACCACGCTGAGCTCCCCAATCCCTGTCCCTGGGCGGGGGGACGGGGCGGGTCGTGCGGCCGTCACACGCAGATCTCTATTGCTGTGGCCAGGACCATCTGCCCCTTGCCCTTGTCCTGCCGTCCGTCTGTCCTGCTCGCCGTGCCCGGGGCGGCCGCGCCAGGCTCAGGGCCRCGCGTTCCGCTCCCCTCGGTCAGGACGGTCCTCTTGAGCGGGGCGGGGGTGCAGGAGCCRGCGGCCTCGTGGCAGTGGGGGCCGGCCGGGAGCTTGTCCCTGGCGTGCTTGCGGGAGCGGTAGGAGGGCCGGCACCGCACCTCGGCCATGAGGTCRCACTTGATGAAGTAGAAAACCTCCTTGACGGGGCAGCGCTTCTCGGGGTCGAGGGCCAGCAGACGCTGGAACATGCGCAGGGCGCCGTCCGTGAAGCGCCGCCACTGCGAGGGCAGCCCCGCCAGCCGCCCCTTCTGCCACCGCACAAACTCCTCGAAGAAGGCGTCGGACGCCACCGCCGCCTCCCAGGGGAAGTTCCCGGTGAGGACGCAGAAGATGAGCACCCCGAAAGCCCAGACGTCGATGCTGGTGTCCACGGCGAAGCCCTCGGCCCGGCCGGCCTGGCACACCTCGGGCGCCGTGTAGGGGATGGTGCCGCTGATGCGCTTGACCCGGCAGCCCACCTTGCGGGTCATGCCGAAGTCGGCCAGTTTGACGCGGCGGCAGTCGCGGTCGAAGAGCAGCACRTTCTCCGGTTTGATGTCCCGGTGCACCAGGCTCTTGCTGTGCATGTAGTCGAGGGCCAGGCCCAGCTGCTGCACGCAGCGCTTCACCAGCTCCTCGGGGAGCCCCACCTGCGCAGGGGACACGGCGTCACTCAGCTGTCACCGAGCSCATGGGGCCTCACCCACCCAGGGACACACACCTCTGTGCCTCTGGTGTCACGGGGCTATATCTGGGTGCTCTGAGGCAGGGCCTGCTGGTGACTTCTGGGCCACCCAGGGAATAGGTGGTGGGTCTTAGGATGGTTTGGGTTGGAAGGGACCTGAAGCATCATCCCGTTCCACCCCCTGCCCCTGACAGAGACACCTTGCACTATCCCAGGGTGCTCCAAGCCCTGTCCAACCTGGCCTTGAACACTTCCAGGAATGGGGCAGCCACAGCTTCCCCRKGGGAAGGGTGATGGGTCCCAGGCCAACCCAGGGGCAGGTGATGGACCTTGAGTCACCCGGGGGTGGGTGATGGGTCCCACACTTGCCTGTAGGTGCCCGTGGCCAGGCCCAGCCCAGACAGAACTGCCCAGTCCCACACCCGCAGCCTTTCCCACAGGGGCACCAAGCACAGGGCAGCTTTGCTCAGCACCCCCTGAGCCCCCACAATCCCCCGAGGTTGCCGAGGCTCAGTGGTCCCACCTGCGGGGGGATGATGTCRAAGAGGTCCCCACCAGGGGCGTACTCCTGAGCGAAGACGTAGCAGTCCTCGGTCTCGAAGACCACGTCAAAGACCTTGATGATGAAGGGGCTGGAGGAGAGCGTGTTGGTGATGCTGAACTCCCGCAGGAAGTTCTTCAGCTTCGTCTTGCTCTTGTTGACGAATTTCAGGGCCATCTTGGTGCCTGCAGAAGGCAGSGGACAGGGGTGAGCCCTCGGCTGGGACACACCAGGTCACCCCACTCCGGACACGTGCCCACCGCTCTCACCTGTGCTTTTGTGGGACACCAGGTCCACCTTGCCGTAGGTGCCCTTGCCGAGCTCGCGGATGAGGTCATAGTGCTTGGTGATGTCGGTGCCCGAGAGCGTGCGGATGGCCAGCGACTGCATGTCCTCGGTGATGAGGGGCACCCCGCAGCAGCCCAGCTTGCGCGACGGCTCCTGCTCAATCGAGCCCGCGCTCATGGTTGCGCTGCAAGGCACGGGTGGCACTGCTTCCGTGGGGCTGCAGAGCCATCGTGTCCCATCCCATCCATCCTGTCCTATTCCATCGTGTCCTGTCCCATCCCGTCCTATCCCACCCCATCCCATCCCATCCCATCCCATCCCATCCCATCCCATCCCATCCCATCCCATCCTCAGAGCTGCAGCCACAGCTCCTTGCAAAGCAAGACTGGGCTGCAAGGGCGGTGCTGAGCAGCCACCACTGAGTGCCACCCCTCGGTCCCCAGAGGCCTCCAACTCAATGGCTCTGGAGGGGATGCTCCAGGCTCTGCAGGGGGTTACAACCTTGGGRATGTTTGGGGACAAAGGAGGGCTCTGGGCATGGCAGAGACAGCAGGGTAGGGATGTGGAAACACACACAGGGACACACATGGGGTGACACACAGGAGACACCCACAAGGACACATTTCCTTGGGTCTGGTGTGTTCACAGCCACTGTGCAGGACAGCAGCTGAGGCACTTTGGGGGTTCCCACTGCTGCTGAGGTCCCCAGAGGAACCCCAAGAGCCAACTCTGTCCCCTTCACCACCAAAGCACCCTCCAGAGCTGAGCCTCACTGCAGCCAGGGGTGCTCCAGAGCAGAACCAGGGCCAGGCCACAGGAACCAAGTGGGACACAATGGCTCTGCAGCAAATCCCACCCCCAAATCCCACTGGTCATCCATCAGCACCAAATCTTGATAGGTGACATCCCATACCACCAGGTATCAGACAGTCTGATGGGGAAAATCACAGAATCCCAGAGTGGATTGGGCTGGAAGGGACCCTAAAGATCATCCCATTCCACTCCCTACCATGGCAGGGACACCTTCCACTGTCCCAGGCTGCTCCAAGCCCCAATGTCCAGCCTGGCCTTGGGCACTGCCAGGGATCCAGGGGCAGCCACAGCTTCTCTGGGCACCCTGTGCCAGGGCCTCCCCACCCTCCCAGGGAACAATTCCTTCCCAATATCCCATCCATCCCTGCCCTCTGRCASTGGGAAGCCATTCCCCTTGTCCTCTCATTCCAGGCCCTTGTCCCCAGTCCGTCTCCAGTTTTTCTGCAGCCCCTTTGTGCCCTGSAAGAGGCTCTGATCTCTCCCCAGAGAGCTCTCTCTCTTCTCTTTTCCAGGCTGAACAATCCAAACTCTCTCTGCTTTTCCGCATAACAGGAGTGTTCCATCCTAGCCATCATCTTTGTGGCCTCCTCTGCACTTGCTCCAACAGATCCTCATCCTTTGTGCTGGGGACCAACAGCTGGAGGCAGAACCCAGGTGGGATCTCACCAAAGCAGAGCAGAGGGCAGCAGCACACRGACATCAGCACCGACATTCCTCACTCCCGACAAACCAGGGATGGTTTCCTCCTCCCTCTGACCATTCCCACAAGAAGATCCAAGCTTGGAGTCACCCACCACAGCTCCACAGCAGTGAAACCACCCCAGCATCTCCTCTGATGTCTTCAGGGCACTGCCTCACCCTCCATCACCYCGGGAGCACAGAGCCCGGGCAGCCRGAGGGCACTCGGTGGCCRCARGAGGATGAGGATGGACAGAGAKAGCCCAGGGGTGCCCACGGGCTGAGCCCCACGCAGGAGCTGGGACAGCCACCCCAAATGGTGCCAGACACCCCACAAAGCACCCACAGCACCCCACGGTCAGGATCACACACAAGGATCCTCCCAGCCCCTTCCCAACAAGGCTGAGCCGGATCTCCAACTTCTCCCTCCTTCCTTCCCCGCACCCTGCTGCCTGTCATCCCAAACCAAAGCTCAGCTTCTTCACTTATTATAGTTATATTTTTTCCCTGGGAAGTTGGGGAAAAAATAGAAAAGGAACTTCAACATCATGATGTTCCAAAAATGTAACAGTTTGACTCATAAGATCTCCGAAGCAGCTCATCTCCATAGTGTTTCATTGGCCCCCTGGCAGAGGAGCACCATCTCAGCGTCTGGGTGCTGGAGGTGGAGGTGGATCAGCAGCAGCAGCTCGCTGGAGGCAGGACTGAGAACAGCCCCCGGCATCCTGCACGAAGGATTCCGGCTACGCTTGGATTTACGATGGCGCTCATCAATGTCCCTTAATTAAGCGGCGTYGAAATGCAATTATTCAAGCCAGGAAGGTTGGGTTTGAGGAAAAACCCTGCTGGTTGGATGGGAGAGAGGAGAGGCAGGACTGGCGGCTTGTGGAAGTGCTCTTCAAGTCAAGGGCTGCTTGCTCTTCCCCTKGGCTCAGCCTGTTGGGGTTTCCAGGTGTCTCCTTCCCCAGCAGCCACCGAGGAGCATCCACGGGGAGCAGGGATCCCGGTCCCGTGCTGCAGCGTGGCTGGCACCGGGATGTGCTGGGATCCTGCCGCAGCGCCGCCGGCACGGCCAGCTCCGAGCGACAGCCCCGCTCCGCACGGCCAACGGGAACACGGAGCCGTCACCGATCCCGGGAGGAGCCAAACAGCAACGGGGACCAAAATACCGACGCGCAAGGCCGAGGGAAGCGTAAACGCAGAAGTTTTCATTAAAAATTGAAAGGCTTTTGAAAACATGTTGGGTTTGATGTGAGCAGCCAAGCGGGGCGGCAGCGGGAGGTGACGAGAGCTCGGTTCTGGCTCCGTGCGCTCCCAGGGACAGCAGGGATGGGGGAATAGCGGGACACGGAGGGATGGCRGTGCCAGCATGGCAGGTGATGCCACCAGCCTGGCACGGCCAGGGTTGGGGTCCCGTCCTTCTGCAGCCAGGTCAGCCACACCGAGGACCTCATGTGCGGCCACGCGCGTGATCGGGTCACACCAGAGCCAAATGAGGTCTTTTCCCGGCACCCCAGCTCCTCTTCCGCCCCAAAACCCTGCAAGAGGAGCCAGCACCGCGCCCGAAGGAAGCCAAAGCCACCCAATGCAGCTCGGCTGTTGCAGGTGCTCCTGAAGGAGCTTTCCCGAGCAGGCAGGAGGATGCGCATCCCGGCTGAGTCCTGGCAAACCCCCCGCGGCTCAAGATCCCGGGCATGACAAAGAAGCAGCGATGCTGCTGCCACGTGGCCCCGGGACCTGCCGCTCGCCACAGGCGGTTCCTGCCGTCATCTCCGCATCCTGAGCCATTTCTCCTACTATTCAGACTAAAATTGTTCCGTGTTTAAGCTTCAGCACCGTTTATCTCATTGAGTGAGGAGGATAATCCACCCACCTCTTCCTTGCTCCCTGGCAGGTATTTATAGGCAGCCGCTCGTCTCCCGTCGGCAGCTGCCGCTCCTCTCCCCGAACCTCCCGGCTCCAGCCCCAGCACCGCGGAGCACATCCCGGGAGCACATTATCCCATATCCAGAGCCCAGCATCCTGCCAGGAGCCGAGGCTGGCACGCACGGACAATCCTGCCCCAGYGCTGTTCCCTGCCGGGGAATGCTCTGCCCTGCTCCGCATCCCGCTCCGCCGCACGCCCAGCCCCGGGCGCATCGGCTCTGCCGATAACTAATTGCAAACTCATTAAGAGCTCATTGAGAAGAGCAGAGGCCGCCGGGGAGAGTTGCCCCAGGCTCCCGCAGAGAAGCCTGCTGGAGCAGCGGCTGCTTGGAAATTAAGAGGGAAAGGGGGAAAAAAATCCCTCTGGCCACATAAGAGTCTGACAGAAAAACAACCGGTTATTGAGGGAGGTTCCAGGGAAAGGGTTTGGGCTGAGCCTGATTCAGGGTTRGAACCCTGGCCAGGGGCTGGGACTCGCACCGTGGGCTGCTCCGGGGCAAGGAATCGGGAAGACAAAGGGAAAATCTACTCGGGGCAGGGGTTCTGCAAGACCCATATTCCTCTTTAGAGAGGGGAGAAATGAGAAATGCAGCAATGGGATGGGCACAGACCCACGCTGCTCTGTCCCTTCACTTGGCAGAGCTTTGATTTCCCCTTCGCTGTCCCCAAACCCTCAGTTACGAGCAGGTAACACTGACTCCCACTCATCCATCAGGACGGAATTCCCTCACTCCGCACCCCACCCAGCTCCCAAACCTCCACTATTTCCCCTAAACAATACACTGAGCCAGCAAAGTCACGCCCTGGGCCTTGCCAGAGCCATCCCCACTCCCAGGTCTCGCCATGCCAGCACCACCCTGGTGTCCCTGGGACGAGGGGCCGGCGGTGTTTCGGCCGTGTCCCTCGTGGAGCCACTGCCTCCCAGCGCCTCGCTCCATTTCCAGCCCCTGCCACCTCCATTTCTGCCTGACCCTGTTCCAGGGACATCCTCTCCTCTCCTCCATGCCGCTGGGACCCGCACCCCAGATATGAGCTGCGCTTCCCGGGGGCTGTGGCACGCTGGAGCCCAGGGAGGGCTCACAAAGGCACCTTGGCCTAACGAGGACAACGTGGCTGTGGGGGCAGGACTGRGATCTCACCGGGGCTCAGAGCCACCGGTGCCCACCACAGCTGGGCAGTCTCCAGCCAGGCTGGCTGCCACCTCCCAAAGCAGCAAAACATGCACAGGGAAAGGGTTCCTGCACCCACGTGCCACCCCAGGGTCAGCCAAAGCCACTCAGGACAAGCCAGCTGTGTCCGGGAAGTGGCTGGTCACACATGGCACGGGGACATCGGCTGGTGGCAGCGGTTTGGGGACAGCCCCTCCACCAGATCCTGCAGCCCAGGAGGAGCAGCCACCCCAAAGAGGCCACGGATGGGGCCACATCTCCAGGTCCAGCTGGCTCCATAGCAGTGGGGCAGTGCTGGGKAACACTGCAGCACCACCTACACCTTTGGGACCAGCACCAAACCTCCACYGGAGCACCCACAGCAGCCAGGACTCCCCAGTGCCCCGAGCTTAGGACCRAACTGGCACCAAATTCCAAATTATCCAGCAATTCTCATACCAGCTCCTTGCCTAGACCAGCGCAGCCTGCTCAGCACCAGGATTGTCTTCAGCAAAGCCAGTGGGTGCCCAGCCAGGCGCCGGGTCCCGGCTGGCAGGAGCTGCTCTCCCACTGCAGATGTTCCAGCTGCAGGGCAGGGTCAGGCCCCRTCACACCCATCCAGAGTGTCCCCCGCTGCAGGAACCATCTCCCATCCTGGCCATCAGTCTGTCTGTGACAAGWTTCCTCAGCCTTCGGTCCCAGGATTCGAGTTCCGCAGAAAAATTTGGGAAGAGCAAACCAAGCGGTGCCAGGACTCTCTCCTCCGACAGCTCCCGGGGAGCCGCGGCTCCTCCTTCCTGCCCGTGCCCTCGGCGCCGCTGTTCCGGAGCTGCCAGCAGGATTCTCCCTGCCCTCATCCACACCGGGCTGTCTCCGTCCATCGGCCCCAATGACAGGACCTTGGCTGCCTTTCAGCGTTCCGACCTCCCGGGATTTTGCTGCCGGGCGGGATGGCTTCGTTAGGACCTCAGCTCTTCCAGCCTGCAGCTCCTCCCGCCTTCGCCGCCAGCACCGGGGATTTATGATTACTTCATTGTTTGATTGGTTTCATCAGCCTGTCATCATCTCCCTCCCAAAACTCTTCCGCCAGCGCCGGCAGCACCGCACGGTCGGGATCTGCAAAGACAAACGCCCCGAGCGGCACCTGCCCGACCCCGCGGYGGGGCCAGCCGGCCCTCGGCCCCGCTCGCTCCTGGGGACAGCAGGGACACGTCCCTCTGCCACAAAAACAGCTCTSACTCCACTCCAAGGGGCTTCACAGCCTCTGAGTGCCCCGTGCAGGCTGGGCAGCGCCCCCACTCAGCCTTGGCTTCCGCCGCCGGGAAGGAGGGTGGGAGCCGTGGTCCCCTCCCGCAGCGCCCCGGGCAAAGCACGGTGACCCGGTGACACCGGGCGGGTCGGGGGCTCTGACCTTTGCCTCCCCATGGGGCAGCACCCCGATGCCGGGTCCGGGACAGAGGGGTGCCGAGGCCGGGACACTCTGTCCCCGGTCCCCGCGCTGTGGCGGGGCTCCCGGCTGGCGTCGCCCGCCCGCGGCCACGGCGGCAGCGAGGCCGGACCTGGAGGAAAGTGGGTCACGCTCCCYCTTCCCCGCTGCAGCCGGGGAGAGGCCGGGGTGGGATGGACGCCGGCCCTGTGCCCGCGCCCGCGGCCTGGGGACAGCAGGGGAGGTGAAAGGGGACTTGGGGGAGGAGATGAGGGGACACAAAGAGACGGGAGGGGACGCGATGAAGGGACGCGAGGGGAGACGAGAGGAGATGACAAGGGGAGCATGGGGAGATGACGAGGGGACAAGAGAGGACACAATGAGGAGACACAATGAGGGGAGGCGAGGGAAGATGATGAACGGGGCATGAGGGGAGATGACGAGAGGACATGAGGGGACAGGAGGGGAGGTAATAGGGAAGACAGGAAGCTGATGAGGGAAGACAAGGCGAGGTGAGGGAACGTGAGGGAAAACAAGGGGAGATGAGATGGGGAGGTGATGAGGGGACACGAGGGGACATAATGAGGGGACACCAGGGGACACGGCCTGAGCTGCCCCCGAGGCCGCCTCTCCCTGCTCTCCCCTTCCCCCGTTCTCAGCTGTCTTCCAGCTCAGCGCACCCTTCCACACCCCCAAACCCACCAGGAGCCCCYGGGGAGCGGCCCCGCGGCCCCAGCTCCGCTCGGTGTCACTCACGCCCCTCCGTCCCCGTCCCTCACCCTCGCCCCCCCCCCGCCGTACCGGGGCCGCCCGGGACGCAGGTGCCACCGGCCGCAGGAGGGACTCGGGGCCGGAGGGGCGACCGATCCCGGGGACAGCGCCCGCACGGCGAGGTGCCCACCCTGCTCCATTCATCCCGGAGCGCCGGTTGTACCGGGATTGGGTTTGTCCCCTCCCCGCGCCGTGCGGGCAAACAAAGGGCGGCCTCGGTACCGGGCGGGCGGCGCCCCCCGCACCCCCATCCGCGCACCCCCATCCCCATATTCCCATCCCCGCACCCCCGTGTCCGCTCCCATCCCCGCACGGCCGCCTTACCGGAGGGGCGAGCCGCCGCCGCGCCCCGTCCCCGGCGGGAGAGGAGCCGCCGCCGCCGCCGCGCTCCGCCCGCCCCGCCGGGCTCCTCATGCCGCGGCTCCGCCGCCGCCGCCGGAGGAGCGGAGCGGAGCGGAGCGGAGGGAGCGGAGCGCGGCGCCCCCCGCAGCCCCCGCCCAGCGCCGCGCTCCGCCCGCACCGGCACCGGCACCGCCCCGGGGAGGGAGCGCGGAGCGGGAGGAGCGGCAGGAGCGGGAGGCGCGGGGGGGCTCCGCCGCCGGCCCCGGGGGGATGGGGGGATGCGGAACGAGCGATGCGGGATGCGGGGCGCTGTTTGTCCCCGCCCCTCCGATGTAGCCKGGGGGAGTCAGTGCGGGAGCAGCCCAGGAAAGGGGGGTCGGGGCTGAGCTGCCCCCTCCCCGCCGGTAGCGCGGGTTCGGCTCGGAACARACCACGGCGCTGGGGACAATGGGGATGCGAACGGGGCTCTGCAGGGGCAGGCTTAATACCCTACCGGCCGCGACGACCCCGACAGTCCAAGCTCGGAGCGTCTGGGGGTCACCAGCAGCAGCACGGTGCCACCGGAGTGCCCGAGCACAGGAACGCATCCCGCTGCCTGCTGCTTCCCTGAGCCCGGCTGTCCTTGAGCCCTCTGAAACTCTGTTCCCTCTCCATTGGCACAGGTGATGCCCCCGTGGTGCGGGTGGTGCCCACCCTGAGTCACAGGATGGTTTGGGTTGGAAGGGACCTTCAGAATCATCCCGTTCCACCCCTGCCATGGGCAGGGATACCTTCTACTATCCCAGACTGCTCCAATCCCCGTCCAACCTGGCCTTGGACACTGCCAGGGATCCAGGGGCWGCCACAGCTTCTCTGGGCACCYTGTGGCAYTGAGGGACAGGTGATGCCCACCACGCCACAGGCAGCCCCCTGAAGCGCCACTCCTCAATAAAAGCAGTGCAGGACACGTGGCTTTCCCCGTGTGCTCCGGGATGGTGGGAACATTCCCTCCAAGCCAGGGAATACCGGAAGAGGCAGGGGCGTTGTGGGGGCTTCCCTTCAGGCACCTTAAATTCGGCAACACTTGCAGCAAGCGGTGCCAGAGCTGGGCACCAGGAGCTCCCGGGCRCCTCCAGCCKGGGGGACAGTGACAGCTCTCCCGGAGGGTCCCGAGGGGTGGGCACCGTGCTCCTCCTTGGCGCATCCCTGGGCACATCTCGTCTTCCTGGATTTCCTTCCGTGCCCACCAAGGCCAAGCAGGGGCGTTTAACACAGGCCGGGATTTGCTTTGGGGCTTCCTTRTCTGTCAGCTGGGTGCCGGGTCCCTTCGCTCCCGCGATGCCACTTGAAAGGGACCCACGGCCATGGGGCTGTCCCACCCTCCGCGGGGACAATGGACTGTTCCCACACTCCAGCTGCGCCCGCTCCGCTGGCACCGGGGCCGTCCCGCTGCTCCCTGAGGCCCCAAAAGCCGGAGAGGGCCGGGAGCCATCGGCACTGACTCACTGGTGGCTCTGCGCTCGCGCTGAGGATGCAGAGCAATTAAGTCTTTTCATGAATGACTTTAAGGCAAGAGGCTGAATCACACTCCGACTCTCCGCTTTAATCCGTGCCGGCATCGCCTGTGCTGCCGTCACYCTCTCCCCGCTGCTCACGGGGCACCGCCAGCCCCGGCCGGGGCACGGGAGGGACGGCTGCGGCTCCGAGGCCGGTCCCCTCAATCGCCCCCCGCTCGCCGCTTCCTGCCACAGCTCCCGGCTCCTCCGGCCGGGATGCTCCGAGTGTGGGTGATCCCCCTCGGGATGGAGGGGGAAAGGCACGGGAGGAGAAATGCCGGAGCAGTGACCCAGCCAGGGTGCGCTGGGTGCGGGCTGAGGTGCTCGAAGCGGCTGCTGTGGGGCTGGGACAGGGGGGGCACCGGGCAGGAGAGCATCTCAGGAGTGAAGGTGCGGGAAAGGGGAAAATTCTGGGAGATGGGCAGAGCCAGGTGCTCCCTGTGCCACCGCAGCAGCGGGACCCGGGCCAGGGGGAGCCACAGCCGCCTCCCCGGGCCGCTGGGGATGGGGTGGGACCAGCGTCGCCCCTTCCCGAGGCCCCTCTCCCGCCGTGTCCCCTGCCTGTCCTTGCCGTGCCATCCTGGCTCCCGCAGCCTCCGCTCCGAGCGGCTCCTCGGAGCTCTCTGTCAACTCTCTCCCTATTTATAGCTCGGGGCTGTTTCTAGGTCAGGCGGGAGGTGCCGGTGCCCGGGGAGATAGCCCACGGACCACTGGGGGCTGCAGGGATGGTGTCACACGCCCCACACATGGGTCATCTCCCAGTGTCACCGTCCTRGTGCTCGAGGACAGGGCCCTGCTGTGCCCTGGGTACAGAGGGGCTGAGCTGGCAGTGGGATCAGCTGGACCTGGCAGGGCTTTGTGGGATTCCTTGGGACTCTGTGAGGCTTGGCAGGGCTTTGAAGGGCTCTGTGGGATTCCATGGGGCTCTGTGGGGTTCTGAGGAGCTCCTTGGGACTCATCAGGGCTCTGTGGGTCTTTCTGGGGCTCAGCAGCTCTTCATGGGTCTTTGTAGGGCCCAGCAGGGCTCTGAAAGATTTCATGGGGCTCTGTGAGCTCCGTGGGCTCCGTGGGTCTCTGTGGGGCTCTGTGGGGCTCCGTGAGGCTCGGCAGGGCTGTGTGGAGCTCAGCAGGGCTCCTTGAGGTTCTGTGAGACTCCACATTGCTCTGTAGGACTCCGTGGGGCTCCTCAGAGCTTGCCAGGTCTCCATGAGGCTCCATGCAACTCCGGGGGGTTCTGTGGGGCTCCATGGGGCTCGTCAGATCCCTGTGGGGCAGTCCAGCCCCTCGGCAGCACGTGGGTCACACACACACTGAGCCATAGTAACATCGGTTGTACCAGTGAGCGCTGGCACAGGCATCGTGGTCTTCAAAGCACTCCCAGAATATTAATAACTAATTAAGATTAACGAGATGAAAGGAGCCAGATCAAACATGTTTATCAGCTCGTGCAATCCCAAACCGTGCGAGGAGCCCCCGCCTCCCCGAGGGACCACGAGTGCCCCYGGGATTTGTGCCGGAAAGGGAATATCCGGCTGGTGCCATGGGATGMGCTCGGACAGGGTGGGCGGCAGCAAATGACCTGCAAAGCCCAAAATATTCCCAGCGYGCCTCATCCCCTCGGAACTCGGCGRGAAGGTCGCTTGTCCCTTTGGCATCGCTGGGGCAGAGCGGGAGCCGAGGGGCTGAGCCCCCCGAKGCCGCGGGCCGGGGTCCCAGGGCCGCCCGCGGCTGTCACGCCTCTGTGACAGGAGCCAAAGCTGCCGGGGATGCTGCGGGGATGCTGGGAAGGAGCAGCGGAGGGAGCGAGGGAGGGAGGGAAGGAGGGAGCGGAGCACGCCGGGAGCCGCGGCACGGGCGGAGGGGACCCGCTCAC